TTTAGGCCGCCATATTGTCTGTACGCGTAACCGTAAAAGTCACGTGATTCCCTACCGTGTTGAATATCATTTAATAGTTGAATATAAGTAGAGATTTGACAGTTACCTCTTAAAAATTTTGAATATAAGTAGAGTTTCTATCATACTGCTGTGTGGCTGAGTGGTTTTAAGGTTGTTGAATTCAAACTGTTTGCCTTCTACTGCTAGCTGTACAAATCCAAACACAGACCAGGGTTATTGCCAAACCTTGAAAGTTTGGAAGTGACCTTACAGGATTTACATTGTTTACATTGACTTAAAAAAACCAATGGCATCAAAAAATGATGAGATTTGATGCCATTATTTTCCATTTTCTATATTTTATAGAGTACAAAACTATTGTCCTATTTTCATATGAACTTCGTTATTTTCAGATGAGACATATGTTTATCATTATTGATATGTCTGTTTCTATGGATGACCAGGACCTTAAACCTACAAGACTTATAGCTTCTTTAAAGGTTAGTAGAGTTACCTCCCTTGTGATATGCTTTTATGAAATTAATCAGCATTCTATCCAGAATAACTTGAAATAACATGCTGCATGCATGCCACAATGTTTTATGACAGGAAATTTGATACTAGTTAGAAATATATGTAAAACAATAGTATGAAACAAAGGCTCTGCACATACACATTTACATACATGTTTATTTTCTGTAATTTTAAAATTACTGAGATCATTTTTTTGTAAGTACACTGCTTTTAAAGGCACATCATGCCTTAGAAATCAATATTTTTAAATTCCTTAGAAATTTCAAACATCATTACATGTGTTTAAAAAATGTTTTATTATTTGATTTTTGATTCACTATGATTATACTCATTGCCAACAGAGCAAAAGAAGTATAAAAGATTGTTCATCTATGTAGCAAAACTGTTACAAGGTACCAAAAATAGAGTTCTTGTGAAATAAAAATGAGGCATAACAGGCCTTTAATCCCAAATTGATAAACAGCGTCTATCTGAACATGATTATATTTAGCACTCCAGTACGAAGCAAACTAGAATAGTTTATTAAATAAACTTTGAAAATTTTTCTCTTTTTATTAAACATTCATTTCATAGAATATTTTCTATTTGCCTGCCTCTATTTCAGCTACTAGAACGTTTTATAGAAGAATATTTTGATCAGAATCCAATCAGTCAACTGGGTATTATAGTTACGAAGAATAAAAGAGCTGAAAAGGTGACCGAACTTGGAGGTAAAGTTCATTAGGTGCTTAACAGAAACAGTGTAAATTCTTCCCAGAAAAAATACACGTGCTTCACAAGAAAATATTAAAGGGGAATACCTAAAAGAACTGAAATCTTTTGTCTCTTCAAGTGTGTTGATCTGCCCAGGTTGAACTGTAAATTATTCAGAAAATATCTTTATATTTACATAGGATAATTGTTACAAACTAGCTGCCTCAGATGCTAATGGAAAAACATTGTACAGTGCAATCTCTGTAAAGTGGCCCACTATTTATAATTATCTCCTTAACAGAAACAGTGTAAATGCTTCCCAGAAAAAAAATTTCACAAGAAATTAACCCTCTGTTGGACAAGACTTCTAACTTGCCCTATAGGCAACAACCAAAAATCTTGTCTGTTGATGAGGTTTAAGTCAGTCTCTTGTTTGTAGGTAGCCATGATTCACAAATTAACATGTTAAGATCCACTGCACTGTTAAGTTTTGAAATAAGATTATGGTCTTTAAATTTAAAATCAGAGGTCGTCTATTTAACAAGTTTGCGCCTATATTGTAATGTAGAGCTGTTTTCTTATGGTGATTGTGTGTGTTTTAGGTAATCCTAGACGACATATAGCAGCTATACAGAAACTAAAAGAGAGGGTGTGTCAGGGTGAACCTTCGCTACAAAATTCCCTAGAGTTGGCCATACAGACTCTCAGGTTTGTTATGTTTGGTTTAGTTTAAATGTGAATATTTTGGCTTGATTGTGTTGAAAACTACAAGCTTAATAATAATTGAACCCATTCTCTAGCAGCCAGTATTGGTGACATAATAGGAAACATGGTTGTGGCCTTAATAGGGCTTGAATCTATGATTCCTTAGGTGAGAGTCAAACATCACTCTTCCTCTGCTTTCCTTATATGTAACTGTGGCATAATATATGATTTGATATGATTATCATAACATGTAAGGAAAATAAAAAAGGAATTATAATTATTGTAAGCTTTTTATAGACATGTAAATTTTTATTGTTGCTCTATAAATATTGATATTACATGTGAAGTAACAAATTTGAATGATAAGCATTGATTGAATAATGTCTGCTAGTAGTCAGTTACTATTTTTATTGCAAAATTAATACTAAACCTCACCCTGCAGAGTTTGTAAAAGGACTTGTCTGACTTTGGATCTAGAAAATCTATTATTAGTTCAATGTTTAGGCGATTTAAGTACAAAGGTATCAAAATACTAACAATTGAGTAGCCCTGGTCTGGCTGCCTGTCTGTCTGTGGAGGCTTTCTGACTTGTTATCCCCCGCCGAAAAGGCGGCGGGGGATATAGAAATAGTCTCCGTCCGTCCTTCCGTCCGTCCATCCTTCCGTCCGACATTTTTGTCCGGAGCATATCTCTAAAAGTATTTGAGTTATCAACTTGAAACTTCATAGGTGGATAGACCTCATTGAGGAGGAGTGCAGTGCACAAGAATGATAACTCTACCCTGCATAATTTTTGAGTTATTGCCCTTTGTTATTTTTCAAAATTGATTTTTGTCCAGAGCATAACTCCAAAAGCCTATGAGATATCAACATGAAACTTCATAGGTGCATAGATCTCACTCAGGAGTTGTGCAGTGCACAAGAATGATAACTCTACCTATCATAATTTTTGAGTTATTGCCCTTTGTTATTTTTCATACTTAATTTTTCACCTGAGTGGAGCAAAACTCAAAAAGTTTTTGAGATATCAACATGAAATGTCATAGTTGGATAGATCTTATTGAGGAGGAATGTTGTGCGCAAGAATGATAACTCTTCCCTATACAATTTTTGAGTTATTGCCCTTTGTTCTTTTTCATGCTATTTTGTCAAAAAGTATTTGAGGTATATACTTGAAACTTCATAGGTGGATGGATCTCATTGAGGAGGAGTGCATTGCACAAGAATGATAACTCTACCCTGCATTATTTTTGAGTTATTGCCCTTTGTTATTTTTCAAAATTAATTTTCGTCCAGAGCATAACTCAAAAAGCCTTTGAGATATCAAAATGAAACTTCATAGGTGCATAGATCTCACTCAGGAGGTGTGCAGTGCACAAGGATGATAACTCTACCTTTCATAATTTTTGAGTTATTGCCCTTTGTTATTTTTCATACCTAATTTTTCACCCGAGTGGAGCATAACTCAAAAGTGTTTGAGATGTCAACATGAAATGTCATAGGTGGATAGATTTAATTGAGGAGGAATGCTGTGCACAAGAATGATAACTCTTCCCTGTACAATTTTTGAGTTATTGCCCTTTGTTCTTTTTCATACTATTTTGTCCGGAGCTTATCTCAAAAAGTATTTGAGGTATCAACTTGAAACTTCATAGATGGATGAATCTCATTGAGGAAGAGTGCAGAACGATAACTCTACCCTGCATAATTGTTTAGTTATTGCCCTTTTTTTATTTTTCAAAATTAATTTTTGTCCAGAGCATAACTCAAAAGGCCTTTGAGATATCATTATGAAACTTCATAGGTGCATAGATCTCACTCAGGAGTTGTGCAGTGCACAAGAATGATAACTCTACCTTTTATAATTTTTGAGTTATTGCCCTTTGTTATTTTTCATACTTAATTTTTCAATTCAATTTTTTTCTCAAAAGTATTTGAGGTATCAACTTGAAACTTCATAGGTGGATAGATTTTACTGAGGAGGGATGCAGCACACAAGAATGATAACCTACCATGCATTATTTTTCAGTTATTGCCCTTTGTTATTTTCAGCCATCAGTATTCACATAGGTTTCAAATCTGTAATCACTATAGCCATCAGTTTTCATTACCAAAAGACCCCTTAAAATGGAATTATTCTGCTCTACTACATATACATTCTTCCAATGAGCAAACACATTCGGCGGGGGATGGCCATGTTGACATGGCTCTTGTTACCATTGCCATTAGTATTCAAAATGTTAAAACTTAGCCTGCAGAATTCCTTTAAATGCTTGTAGATTTATACTAATTTTCATGAACACTTTGAATATGTGTTTTAAAATAGTATTGTTAATTGAACAAAAAAAGTAATTTACACTTTGCAAATGGCACTTACAATCAATGCAAAGTACCAAAAAAAAGCTAAATTGTGCACAAAAATACTCGGTCACTCAGAAAAAATATGTTGATAAATACTGCAAAATCAGTCATTAATTGCGCAAAACTTGTAAATTAATACTTTTCTTAAAATTTTATTATATTTTTCTAATATTTGATTTTCTTGAAATATTTTGACTCATCTAGAGGCATGCAGCTATAATGGATTTGGCCTGCTTTAAATATTGGAACAGTCCATTCAAAGTTTAAGGGATTTCAATATCCAAATTGGGCATCCGTGGCTGAGTGCTTAAGGTCGTTGACTTCAAACCACTTGCCCCTCACCTCTGTGGGTTCGAATCCCGACAGGGACTTTGGATTCTTTCATGTGAGGAAGCCATCCAGCTAGCTTACGGAACGTCGGTGGTTCTTCCCAGGTACCAGTTCGTGCCTGAAATGCACGGCAGGGCACCTGAGGTCTTCCTCCACCAGTTAAGCTGGAATGTCGCGATATGACCTATACTGTGTCGATGTGACGTAAAACCCAAAACAAGCAAACAAACAGACAATATCCAAATACAAAAATTGAGCTGCCAACTAAAAATTGGTCAGACTGCATGGATGTGCAGGCTAGCCTGGTTCTATACTGGTGGTGATGGCCAATCACTTTTTCTTCCAGCAGGTTCAGGGTTTGATAAAATGTTCCTATGTTTTGTTTGCAGGCATATGCCGAGCCATGCCAGTAGAGAAGTGTTGGTACTATTTGCTAGTTTAACAACATGTGATCCTGGTGATATCCTAGAAACATTAAGGGTTAGTTAAGCGACTTTTCATGCTTTATACATAAACTACTTTGTGTTTTCGGTTTAAATCAAATTAATGGTTCCGTCTAGCGTCAATATTATTTAAGCATATTTAGTGTCAATGATGTTACACCCAACACTGTATAGACACTGAAATGTTAAAAATTTGTTGTTATTTTGACATAAAATCATAACTTTTTTAAATGTCCATGCAAAAAAGTTAAGAGTGACCATATATGCATATATAAACATGAAACAAGCTTTAAGAATGCTGAAGGATCTGATGATCATAAAATGAAACTTACCACATTTTCATAAAATTACATGAAAAAAAAAAGGAATTTAAAGGTACTGGATAATGAATATGACTATTTCTGAAGAAATGTATAATGTTTATAATGGATGTTAATGGTTTTGTTTGGTTTTTTTTTAGTATTTTTAGTTGTTACAAGCTAACAAATTCCAAAATGATACATTAAAATGTGAAATGTTTATTATATTTAGTTATATTTACAGTTGTTAAAGGAGACAAATGTGAGATGTTCCATGATAGGTCTGGCAGCAGAGGTTAGAATCTGTAAAAAGCTTTGTACAGACACAAATGGTATGATCTTAATTTACTTTAGTAGATTGAACTTAACGTGTTTATTCTATAGTCTTAAATGCAGTTGGAATTCATTCTTGTTTTCATTTACTATTGGAAACTTTACTTGCCTTCAGATCATAATTGTAGGTCATTGTCAAAGACTTAATACTCTAGCATGGTATTTCATTGAAATATATCCCTTTGTTTGACTATTCCTTCCTAAGTGTTTAAGGATTCACAATTATTTTCATTATTTTAAGTGAACTATCATATATTTAGTATGTCTAACATTGTTTTGTATTTGTTTTGTTTATCTGTAGGTAAATACACTGTCATTTTGGATGAAAGTCATTTCAAAGATCTACTTAATCAACACACCAGTCCCCCACCTGCAATGGTAAATAGAGTTTATATATGTTTCAAATATGATTTAAATTGTATTATACTAGAAGTTAATAATAATATAAACGAGAATATCTACAGACATTTCAATGAACCAAACATATAAACATTTTGGCCAGTATCCCAGAATATTTATGTAAAAACTTGTACGACATAATGTTATTATTATAAAGGCCTGCACTTATTCCTCTATTAAATTGACATTTATATGCCCATCCAAGAGTATATATTGAGTGAACAGGTGAAAGCCAAAATAAGTAAACATTTTGCTATCATTCCTGTAAATTTTATAATTATTTTGCCTGCAGTAAGTAACTCACATGGCTATAGATGTCCATCTTAATTTACCTGTACATTCAATTCATTAAAAGTGTGGGGCAGTCTTTTTATTTTTAGGGCAGATTTAAATTTTATCCTATTAGTAAACATTTTACAATATTATCAACTGTTGGTCAATTGCCATTATAGCAGTCAATCTTTTGAAATATATAGTGAATGCAGCTCAATGAAAAAAAGCATAATATTACTTTAAGCAATGAGAATTGTCAGTCACTCTGTACTGTTAGACATAAGAACTAGCATAACTATGGTGTGTATGTTAGAATAGTGTTACAATATAAAGAAGATTTAAAAGTCACGATGATAATTTGTAGATGAACACAGAGTCATCACTAATCAGGATGGGGTTTCCACATCATCACCTCGGTGGAGAGAGGTCTGGCGATAAACCCTCCATGTGTATGTGGTATGTTTCTTTTATTATAATTCATGCAGAATTTATTTTAGTTCTATAAATATCTTGGCCAATTTATTTTTATCGAAGTTTAAATTGCTGCTCATTTTAAAATTTCTGATTAACTTTGTATGGGAGTCATCCCATCTTATCCGTGTCCCAATATACATACCTAGAGATGATCTTGTGGCAGGTATTATGGCACAAACGTAGACACATGTACAGATATAACTGTAGAAATAAATATATTCAGCTCCCTTATAAAAAGTCAGTTTTAAATGAAGTTTATGCTTGTCCATATGGTTCATTCCAGTGGCAAGGATAAATAAACCAAACAAACACAAGCACATACAGGTCCAGAAATGACTTTGATTGCAAGTGTTTTAACTAGCAAGAGATAATTTATACAAACATTATTTAAGTGTTGACTGGTTATTTTTTTATGAATATATTATGTATATATTTCAGTCATTTAGACAGTAAATCTGTTGAGGGGTTCAGTACCACTGGATATTTCTGCCCTCAGTGTAAGAGTAAATATTGTGAACTACCAGTAGAATGTAAGGCGTGTGGTACGTATATGTTGTTTATATATTTCAAACAGAAAATATTTATTTAAAACTGATGCCAAGAAACAAAGAATTTTGTCTGTTGTTGTAAAAAAAAACAGAAAAATAAAAAAATTTGGTGCTAATTTTCATAAAAATTTTGAAAATTTATTGGAAAGTGAAGAAAGTAATTTACATATTGCAAACGGCACTTACCGTTAATGTAAATTACCAAAGAAAGAAAAAAAAAATATGCAAAAATACCATAACTGCAATAGTCATGCAGTATAAATATTGTATTAAATACTGCAAAACCAGTCATATGGTAAAAAATACTGCAAAACCAGTCATCTCACAAAATATGTAAATTATTAATTGAATCTTGAATATTTTTACTTTTCTTGAAATCTAAGTACACTTTTCTCAATTTTAATTTTCTTGAAATATTTTGGGTTATTTGGAGGCATGCAGCTTCAAAGCTCAATACATGTATATGTTCGATGAATTTTGTATAAATTGTTAACATAATTCATTGTATACATTTATATTACAGGTCTTACACTTGTGTCAGCACCTCATCTAGCAAGATCCTACCATCATCTCTTTCCACTTGACCAGTCATTAGAAATTCCAGTCACAGATTTTGATCCTGGGCAAAACATGTAAGCAATTAGTTTTTAGTCTTTTTAGCTTGACTATTTGAGTCACGCCATGACAAAACCAACATAATGCGTTTGCGACCAGCATGGATCCAGGCCAGCCTGTGCAAACGCGCAGTCTGATCAGGATCCATGCTGTTTGCTTACAAACCCCTTTTACAAGTAGAGAGGATGCGCAGGATGGTCTGGATCCATGCTGGTCGCAAATGCATTATGTTGGTTTTGTCATGGCGCGGCTCATTTAAACAATAGTGGTGGTTTCTGCTTAGCTGCATTTAGCACAACACTTGGGTTATGGTTTTACGTGTTACTTGCTCAATAGTAAGTGTACCGAGATATGAACAAAAATGTGTTGAAATGGACTAAAAAAAAAAAACAATCAATTTGCTTGTAACTTCCTAACTCTGTAACCACTTATGATGATATTTAACTTGAAATTTGAACTGTACAATGCTAGTGTGAAGGATTTTAATATTAAAATTCTAAATTTTTGCAGCCAATTTATTAAGAAGTCCAGTCAGGCAGCAAAGATGTGCAGGTTGGATTTACTTGTTACTGCAGGCATAGGTCTTTTATCATTGACACAAGCATTCAAAGTGATAACTTTATGCATATAAGTTAATTTAGTGTAATATATGTTCTTATAATTTATTTCAGATACTGCTATGCATGTCAGATTCAGATACAGGACCAAACTGTAAGTAGCATTGCAATAATTTCAGGTACATAAACAGGGCCCTCAATCTACCAAATATTGGCCACAGTCCCCCACCAAAGTAGTTTTTTTTTTCCCTTTCAGAGGTAAAATTTCCCCCTCAAGACATAAAATCCAACAGAAAAAATATTGAAAAGTTATGCTGTTTCTGACAAGTAAATTGATCTGTTAGCGAAATATTGTATTTCTGCACTGTTTTCCATTTCACATGGTTTGATATTTGTATGAATGAACAGGGAGACTTTCCTATAAAAAGAAAACCACTGATATTTAAGTGATAGTTTGTTATTATTTGACCGAAAAGAAAATGAAAAAATAAAAATTCTCCCATTTACTTAAATTCCTGTTGCTGAGGGTATCAACCCACTTCTTCAAATTAGATTGATGGCCCTGAATTATATATCAAGAGATTTTACTAGAGATTTTTTACATTTAGTTGTAATCTTCTTAATTTCATTTGATCCATAATTTACTGCTGAATGTTGCTTGTAAACAGATTTTCTGTTAAGGCTACATATGGCTTTAATTACAAAGTCCGTGGGCTACATGAAAAAGAAAAAAAAGGCAAAATTAAAAGAAATGATTGCTTGCTATCTGATTGTTCTAAGTCAATTTAGTTATACTTATGTATTGTGGGGTTAATTTTGTTGGGGTTTAAAATTGCACCGACTTCATAAAGTACAATGTTATACTCTTTGGGCTTCTTTTGTTATATTCAACTTTACCATTCTAAATATCTTAAATGGGCTTTTCTGTCTTTCACATCCAGCCAGCATACAGAATGTCGGTGGTTCTTCTCAGATGCTCCTCTGCCTAAAATTACGCACAAAGTGGCATCTGAGGCGTTCTTCCCTTAGTAGGAAACTGGAAAGTCACATATAACCTTAAAATTGTCAGTGTGACTTTTTTTTTTTTTTTAAAAAAAAAACTACAAAAGAAGAAACAATCTGGATAAAACCATTCATCTCTTTTAGGGTTTATTTTTAGAATTATTTACTAACTATATAGTGAAAGTGTAACCATGATTAAAAAAAACATATGTGTTGGCTGATCTTTATCATGAATTATGAAATATTCGTGGCTGCTTGTAAATGATGTGACATATTTCTTACAATGATGTTTATTTCCAGGTGTACCAGTGTAGAAAGTGCAAGCGTATATTCTGTATTGACTGTGATAATATTTGGTGCACGAGACTCTTCACTCCTGCCCGGCGATGTGCAAGCTCTTCGTAAAACCAGACTGCAGAAGCTGTCTTTGTTGAACATTATACCGTTACCAAATTTGTGACAATGAGGTTCAGAAAATGAAGATTACGTTGTGAACTTAAAAGTACAGGAAAAGCTGACAACACTAAAACAAGAAGAAAGTGTAGCAAGAGAAGAAAGTATGGAAGTAAAAGCAAAAGAAATTAAAGGGAAATTATACATGTTAAGTATTGACAGAATGTAATGCAGAGAAAATGGTGCACATTAAAACAGTGACCATATAACAGTGAACTAGGTTTAATGTATAGGAAAACAGTGAACAAGAAATGGCTTAATTGTAGTGTTGCATAGTAAACAGTGAACTTGGTATTTTCTCACAAATAAACAGAAAACATATAGTAGAAACACCTCACTGAAAACCGTGCATTAAACAGGGAAACTGAGAATAGTGTACAGTACTGTAAACAGTGAACTAAGAATAGTTGGTGTACAGTAAACAGTTGAACTGGAAATAGACAAGATAAGAGGTCAGGCAAATGAATTCAATTTCAATAGTAAGTTGTGGTGTTAACGCGTACATACTTAGTAAACTAAGGATTGCAGGCCATTTGGGTTCAAACCCTGCCAAGGGACAAGTTGTAGTTTCTGTGAAGCAAGAAACTTTACACTCATTGCTTAGACCGTTTGGTTCCAGAGTTATGTTTCAATAAAACATAAAAGCTTCCAACACAATCAAACTAAAAATAAATTGTAATTTAATCCCAAAGGGGGTTGTGTATTTTCTGTACCTTATAAATGTAAAAACTAATATTACAAGAATGATGATGAGATAAAATTTATATTAATATTGAATTTGTTGATTCATGATAATTGAAATCTCAAGAATCAATTTTACAACTAAATATTTTTCAAATTTGATACATATCTGTGTTGGTAGTCCATACATGATGAATTAAAGCAGCACCCCTTTCAGATTCCTGCTAATGTTCATAAAGTTTTTGGAAATGTATTTAAAGTAAAGTAAAGTTAGGTTTGGAAAAAATAATTTACATATTGCAGTCGGCACTTAGAATCCCACGAAAATTACCAAAAAGTGGGGTCAACATATGCAAAAACAGCCCTTACTGAGTTAGTAACCCAGTAGAAATATGGTAATGAAATACTGCAAAAATCAGTGTTAAATCAGCACTATAACATGAAAAATATAACTTGGATCTTGATTGATTTTACCTTTCTTAAAAGTTTAGTGCATTTTTCTTAATATTGATTTTCTTGAAAATATTTTAGATCATCCCTTGAGCCGTGCAGCTTTTATAATGAAAGTAACAAAAAGCAGATTTAACATAAAGTTGATTCACATAGTACATGTAGTTGGTTTTTTTTGATATGCTATTGAGTGATGGATTTTAAATCGTTTAGTTGAAAATTATTGATTGAAACTGTTTTATCATGAAAATTTGTTATGTTATATGCTTAGGAAATTGCTTGGTATAGAATAAAGCAAGTCAATTTTTCTACACATTTTTATATTCAAGAATCACTAGGGTAAAAAGTTAATGATGTAGGTCTCATAGGGCATTTGTTTCTTTTTGAATATTAAATTGAATAATAAATTTTCCATGTTTTCTTATTGATCAATTTAATATCAATGATGAAAACTTTTCTAGTTATAGGAATCACTTTGCACTGTCCCGTATCAGTAATAGGTATCAAATTGGAGCTTGAAATATAAATGCAATAGCACAATGCAACTGTCTTTCAAGTTTCATAACTCTGATAGTGAGTTTGACAGAATTATGCCCCTTTTTAACTTTGGCAATTTTCAAAATGTAACAAAGTGGCAAGATATTTTAACTTTTTTTTTCTTCAAAATTGTACCAAAGTGGCAAAACATTTTATTTCTTAAAAAATGTACCAAAGTGGCAAAACCTTTGTTAATGAATGAATTGTCTTCATACTTGGAGACAACAATCCTTTTGAATGTCCAAACTGACCTTGACCATTAGTCATAAATGACCTTGAAATTACTGAATTTTTGTGTCGCCTCTACGGAGCCAAACATGAAAAACGTAAACTGGAACGGAAATGGCGTGAAACTAAACTTACAATAGACCATCAGATCTACAGAACACATTGTTCTAGTGTTAACAAGATGTTAAAACAAGCTCGTGTAGAATACTATACAAGTAAAATAGAGTCTTGTGGCAATGATCATAAAAGTCTATCTAAGATTACCAAAGGTCTACTTGGAGATACAAATGAAGTGATTCTACCATTTGATTCATCTTCAGAGCGCCTTGCCCAGAAATTCAGTGACTTCTTTATTGGAAAGATTGAAACAATAAGGAATAACATACGTAAATAATGTCTGTAGGAACTGTTATGCACAATTAAGACAAATCGGTCACATCAGACCCTATCTTACTGTTAAAGCAACCAAATCTCTAGTAAATTCACTTGTTACATCTAGGTTAGACTACTGTAATGCACTGTTATATGGAGTCTCTTAAGCAGTCAATGACCAAGTTACAACATGTTCAAAATACAGCAGCTAGAATTGTGACCAAAACACTCAAATATGACCACATAACACCCATCTTACGTGAACTTTACTGGCTTCCGGTAGAGTATTGGGTCGAATATAAAATTTTGACTTATACATATAAATCCCTTGACGATCAGTCAGCTGCATATATAAAAGACATGATACACGTGTACACTCCAGCCAAGAAATCTGAGGTCCCAGAATAACTCAGTGACATTAGTTGTGCCTAAATCTCGGACAGTACGATTTGGTGACAGGTGCTTCCAGACAGCTGCAGCAAAATTATGGAATGAGTTACCACCTGATATTAGAGACTTTAATACATTGCCAAGTTTTAAGAGAGCTTCTCAAAAACACATTATTTCATAAAGTTCTATGGACGTTAGTTCATAAATCAAGTACTACTTTTGCTATATTATCAGTGTTAATTTTAATTGTGCCTTGATTTTAAACTAAATGTGTCTGTATTTCTTACCATCCTTTACTGGTTTTAGATTATCATTATTGTTTAATAGGTTTACTTAATTTATGTTGTACATTATGTCTTATATATATATGATTATGTTTTATCGGATTTATGTAAAGCACTCTTGAACATTTATTATTTATGAAAAGAGTGCTATAGAAATGTGGTATATAATAATAATAATAATAATAGTGGCGACATATAGGGATCACTTCTCCGTCGTCTGTCTGTCTGTCTGTCCGTCACAAAACTTGTCCGGACTACTCCTCATAAACTACTGGTGCAATTTCATCCAAACTTTACAGGAATGATCAGTACCAAGTCTAGTTGTGCATATTGTCAGCATTTTCCGGTTCAATGATTTTTGTCAGAGTTATGGCCCTTTAATAATTTTTATTTTTAAAGTTTGTCCGGACTACTTCTCTTATACCACTAATGCAATTTCAATGAAACTTTACAGGATTGATCTGTAGCTCAAGTCCTTGCGCTTATTGAACGGGTTTTCCGGTTGAATGATTTTTTGCCGAGTTATGGCCCTTTGATAAAAAGGTGTTTTTTTCTGTGTGTTGCCAGATACACAAAAGCTTGTCCCACTACTCCTCATAAACTACTGGTGCAATTTCATCCAAACTTTACAGGAATGATCAGTACCAAGTCTAGTTGTGCACTGTCCGTCTGTCTGTCTGGCTGTCACAAAACTTGTCCCAACATGAAATTGGCCATCATGAGGCGACACATGTGATCACTGATCGCTCTTGTATTATATATTTTTCTAAGTAACTACTTATAAATTTGTTACATATGAATGGATTGTCGCCATATTAAGACACAATATCTTTTAGGATATGGCCTCTATAAAGATCACACAAACTTTTTCTTTGACTCCTGAAGTTGTAGTTATTGAATTTTATGACTGGCATTAGTATATGGAAATTATTCATACTTGCACAAACATAGCATATTAATGCAAAAATACAATGCATCAGTGTGTGTCAAGTTTCATAACTTTGATAGTTTAAGTTTGACGTATTTGTGCATCTTTTTTTAACTTGGAAAATATCCCAAAATTATGTAAATGAATTGTCCTCATACTTGGACACAACAATCCTTGGTGATCACCTTTAAGTTGATGAAGAGTTAATAGCTGTTGCAGTAAATTTATAACTAGTAAGGATATTTTCTCATAAATTATCATTTTAAACTTAAGGTTTTTTTAAGGACAGATAACCATGGAAGTAATTTTTTTATGTTAATTATCTCCCTTTTTGCGTAGAAAAAATAGAGGTATTGTTACAGTTATGTTCGCGTACTTTAATGTTGATCATAACTTTTTAAGTATTGTCTTCATACTTGGCCACAACAACCTGTGGACAAAACCTTCAATAAGACCAGACTAAGCTTGGACTTTATTTATGAACGAGCTTGACCTTTAATGTCAAATGTCTAAATTTTCTCGATTTTTTGTTATAACACTCTTAACAAAAAATCGAGAAAATTTAGACAAAATAACTTTGTAATTTTTGAATGGATTGTCTTCAAACTTGAAACAACAACCTTTTAGGATAGAAATATTAAATAATATAATTTGGTGACAGACAAAATAAATAATCAAAGCGCTGAAAGCACTGATGTATTCGCTGCGCATTATAAATGCATATGTGTCTTACTAAAAACGTTGCAATTGTAAAGAATAAAGGAATATTGGCCACTGAATTACAGATTATTAATCTGATAGAGACATTAACACTGGTTGTTGAATATTACATTGAAAGAGGGAAAGAAGTAAGAATAAACTAAATGAGAACAACTTTATTACATTATCTAAGTGGTACAATAAATTAACATCCAAAATATGAATGCATGCAGTACATTCATGACTAGATCCTTAACATGATGAGAGAATTATGTTATAATGAATGTATATACAGTAACAATACCTAGAATACTATATTGCTACATAAGCTTCAAATGTAATGACAGACAGATTACCTAGCTAAAGCATTTTAGTTTTTCAAATCATGAAAAGTGAAACTTGGAACATGTTA